GTTCCACCTCTGTGACTGTGTTTATGCTTTATCACTTCGTTCGTCCGACCTCGCCTCTCACCTTGACACGGGCAGCCATAGACGGTCCGCAGGATTATCGAATGTCTCCACTTTTCCATACTCCAAAGCGGCATGCATGAATGCACCTGAAGAAATGTCGGGTTTGACCGGCCGTGGTGAACTTCAGAACGGGACCACAAGCTCGCAGAACAACCAGGTTACCGCTGGTTAAACCAGAAAGCTTGTGTTTGTTTTTGTTTTTGAGGTACCGTGGCACAGAGAGCGTTCCGGTACCGGCTAACGAGAGTTTGCGTTAAAGCACGAAGGCACGAAGGCACGAGAACCAACGAGCGCGATAGCGAACGAAACGGATCGGATGCGGCAGTTTTCGATCGTATAAAACAAACATCACATGGCGTTGGTACTGAAGTAAAATTATGAACATACATTTAGATTGTAGAGGAAAAATGATGTCCGGCAAAAGTCTGATGTGGTCCTTTTTCACCGTACAATCGGGCAAAATACTCACCGGAAAGTCACTGACCGACCACCCGAGTGTGGATATGTGAACAGAGCTCAGTTGTCTCCTTGGTTGTTGCCATATTTGGACATCATTGAAGTTATAACGATGCGAATGTAAGTACAATATTGTACTTGAAACTGATCTGATATCAGACGAATATCCCGTAATTACTTAACGGCTGAATCAGGTTGTGAAATAGGTATCGGAAGTTGAACCTTTTTTCCGCCGTTAACGGCCGAAACCACTATTCTGTGGTTTATCTAAACCAGGTGACATGCTTCAGTCTACGTCCGACACCATAGCAGAAGTGCGAAAATTACTTTTCCATGGAATTCGACTGAGAAATACTGGGCAAGTAATGGTTGTTCAGCTGAATCGTGTCATACCAGAAGCTCCTGCCAAAAGTTGTCTTGAACATGTTAACCAGCACACATGTTTTTATTATTGCTGCCGTTGTACTGTCAAGTGAGTCAGTCAAAATCGTCGTCTATGTTTCCCAGACCGTCGTGGACGTATGTGTACGGATGCGGACCTTCGCCCAAGAAGGCAGGAGAAGCATCAAGCGGGAATTTCTCCCTTCGAATCATTGAATTTCCAGTCACGATTCAGTTGTTCCCCTCAGAACTGCCGTCAACAGATGGCACCGCTGCACATGCATGTGCAAAGCGTAAATCGTGATTTGAGAGCGACCCTAATAGATACATACCTTAATTATCTCAGAAAAAAGGTGATTCACAACAGACTTCAGCGACAGTGATATCCAGCCACGTAAATTGGCTCGATAGTATGATTTGCAGATAACACCACCTCCACCGAAACTATCCACTGCTGCTAACCAATCGCCGAAGGCTAGTTCACAATCAGCATCCACTTCGGTTAACAAAAAGTAAGAAGACTCTTTTATTTAATGAAAGTATCCTTATTAGAAGTCCTACCTTTCCTCTTAGCTCCCCTACCTTTTTGTCAACTCCCAAACGCACGTGAGTACAATGTCCTATATATTTCCATTCCAATTGGATCAACTCGTCCTTCTGTGACTTCTACTTCGTCCACGAAAAAAAAACAGATGAATCCGACAATAGCTGTTTGCGTCGATTGATGCTGAGATATCTAAGCTATCCTAAATGCATTCTGTAGCGTCTCAGAAAAAAATTTCTGCAGAAAATCCTGTGATGGAAGAAAGAAACCCCCGGCTGGCGAACGAATCAAGAATAAGGCCCATCCAACCAGATGCGCAGACGTAGCGACTGGAAGTACTTCGCGAGACAATGTCGACTACCACTTGAAAAGAACGAATCGACAATTACAGCCCGACGGAGAATCCGCGTCTAGCCAGAAAGATATCCACCGATTATCACAACGTCGGAGCTGTCGATCAACGTATCTCGCACTACGATCGGTTCAATCCAGTCGGAACAGTATTTGGAAGAAGAGGCAACGTACGTGCCAAGTGCGGACCAAAACCAACAGGGATTGACCAACAAGATGAGGTATGAATCATCCTGCCGAGCGGTTAAGAATTGATTGTAAATAATTGAACGCACCCATCAAATGTTTTTGAACTGAATCAATAACCGTTCTCCCAGCTAGCTCGCTTTCTCGCCGTTACCCTCTTTTGAAAACTCTGCCACCAACGCAGCTTTCAAATGTTCATAATCCAGGGCTTGGTTGCTTTCCAAATTCAAATCGTAAACGGCCCTCGCTCGTCCCGTAAGCAATGCACCCAACGCGGTGACCAGATGCACACTTCCTTTGATGCCGTTGCATGATGCGTTTAACTCAAAATCGCGAATCCATTTCTCCACATCTCCGTCTGCAAACACGTTCGGCCAAGGTATCTTCACTGCGTTGTGCTGACTTGAGGGACGGCTGATGAAAGGTGATACAAAGAGAGCCCTGTCTGGTGAACGGTTCAAGAATAGGGCGCATCCAACCAGATGCGCGGACGTAGCGGCTGGAAGTACTTTGCCTTCTCGTTAGAATAGAGTAAGGTGAGGAAGGACTTAAGCTTCATACGAAACTAAATATGCAAAGCGGATACCTCAACTCTAATACCCGTGAATATTCCAGTGAAGACCTCAAGTTTGACGCGTATAAATGGATAAGTAGTGATTTATATGTGATTAGAAGAAACCGAGGATGTAAGTTCGAAACCAATTAGTTTGAGGTCTCCGGTTTCAATTTTTATTAGGTAATAAGGTAACCCTATCAAAAAAATATTCGAGTGTTCCCTGAACATACCAAAATTTTTCATTGAAACGCCCAGGGGTTACACTCAGGGGGACATTCAGAGGCCTCTCAGGGGAAACTCAGGTGTCACTCAGCGATATACTCGTACTAATTGGGTTTGTTTGAGTAACTCACTTACATTTCAAATTGTTTATTCAAAAGTGACACTCAACGAACGCTCAGCGATATTAACAAATTATTGAAAATCTACTCTCGTAGTTCGGGTGAACTGAATTCCATTTCACCTTTTCGCCGAGCTTGGCCAATTCACAAGCACTGATGGTTTCAACTCGCCTGGTGATGAAACTGTGGTAATCGGAATATTATTGAATTTAGGAATACGAGAACCCGTACTGTACGGCCATAACTGAATTGGCTCCAACCCGAACTGCGGACACCAATGAAATACACGAGGAATTGATAGCAGCAAACGCTTATGTGCATGGATGGAATTAGAGCGTGTTTTTGAGAATGTAATAGGCCATATGATTGGTTGAATTAGCATCCTCTAATCACGTAACCGTTTGCACCAACGTATCATATGTGCTAACTCGGATGTCATGTTCACCCGGTGTACCATTGGTCGAGCCTCCTGAACGGTGATTGGATGACATGAAACTGTACCTAGTCGTGCATGGATTGCGGTCACGGAAGTCTGGATCACCGCAGAAACGTTTGCAAACAAATTGCCAAGCTCAGTGAACCGGCGAAATGGAGCTCAACGATGCATCCAAAGTTGTCCCAAGCAGCACGAATATACCTCTGAGTGACAACTGATTGTCCCCTGAATGTCCCCCTGAGTGCAACCCTGAGCGTCCTATTGAAAAGACTTTGGTATACTCAGGGGACGCACAACTAATGTCTTTGATGACGTTAGACCATTACCAATTTAAAATGAATTCCACAACTTTTCTGGAGCTCATTTTTTTGATACCTGATCTTTTCTGTTCTAACTATTTGTAAACGAGTGATTTATGAACCTGACCTCGATGAAGTTGTTGTAATACATTGTAATACAGTGAATAAGCAGAGCATACAAATCGAATAAATTACGTGTGCTATTCCCTTTGGACTTGTTCTATTTTGTAGATCGCTATTGCGCTAATTTCGGAACTACATTTCAAAATCTGTCCACAATACTAGATTTGGCTTTGCAGCCGGTCTACTGAACCATGAATTCGACTTCGCTAGAATCCCTAGACCTGAACTGCAGTGCATGCACCGTGGAGAACTATTTCGAACGTTTTTAAATTTGGTGGGTGACTCGTTTGAAGCCCGATGAGGAAAAGAACTCCGCCTTCTTTCTGAATCTCGCTGGTAAAGGTGCCTATACTTTAGTCAAGAATTTGGCATGTCCTTCTTCATCTGGTTGTGTGCCATAGGAGGATTTACAATCCCTCCTTCTACAGCATGTGAAGCCGACGAACTTTGAAGCCTCAGAGAGGGCAAAATTTCATTTAATGGTACGTAATCCAAACTAGGGCATTCGTGAATTCATTTTGGATTTGCTCACACAAGCTGCGAAGTGTGATTTTGGTGACTGACGGGATATACAGTTGAAATATCGGCCGATTTCTGGTATTAACAATACCATTTTTCAAAACGAACTTCTGAAATTGTCAACTCCAACGTTCAAAGATGTACAGGCCCAATGTGAACAATATCAGGACATTCGCTCCGTTACTTCATCTATGCCAGCGACTGTCGAATCTAGGGCCATGTTCAATTTATTCAAAACCAAATCCGCGAAAGTTCATACTAAAACCGGACATTTCAAATCTACATAATTTCGCTCACACAATGTTACATATTCGGATAAGTCCTATGGCAATTGAGCATCTTGCGGCAAACGTCATTCCAGATTTACATGTCAATTTCGTTATGCTTTATGTCACACGTGTGGCAAAAACGGCCATATTCAGTGTGTGTTCGTAGTACCGAAACTTGTCGTTTAATTCAATCCAATAACTCAGGAGTGAGTGACATAGACAAGCAGTTTTGTTTTCTATCTTTGTCAATTACGTCCCATTCTAATTATTTTCGTAAACAACTATTCAGTTCCATTGGTAACACATTACTTTTCATTTTGGGCACTGGTGGTGTGGAGTCTCTGATTTCTGTTCCTGATTTAAAACTGTTTTCTCCGGATGCTAAACTGCAGTCGTCCACTGTCAACCTGAATGGCATCAATGGACATTCATTGCCTGTTGTTGGTTCTTGTGAGATTTCAGTCAGTGATGAACATTCTAAATGTTCTACCTGTACATTCATTGCAATCAAGTCTGGCCCCTCCCTACTATGCTTGAAGGCTATGTAAACACTAATTATCAATCCTTCCTCGTTAACTTCTATTGATATTGAAAATCAACTGAAAGATTTGATTATTAAATGCTCAAAGGCCATTGGTGCCATGGAAATCCTCCCCCCCCCATAACGAAACTACCAGTTAATGGCGATCCAGTTTTTCTCAAACGCCGAGTTATTCTATATGGCCTTCGTGAACCTGTCGTGAATGCACTAAACAACTTGTGTTCCAAAGGTGTTATAGAGAAATGGCGTTGTCAGCATGGGGTACGCGAATCGTAACATCAATCAAGTTGGATGACAAGACCCCTAGGATATGTGGTGACTACTGAATCAACCAGAATCCCAAACTGTTAAAACGGACGTGCACAACGTTTGAACCAGAGGACATTCTGAATGAGTTGACTGGTTCTGAGGTCTTTCCCAAGATGGACTTGCAAGATGTTTAACCACAAATCCCGTTAGACGAAACCTGCTCCACTTTGACAAATATTAAAACCTTATTTGGTTTATCCGTTTATCCTGTCAACAACAACAACAACAAGTTATGAATGACATTGCTGATGGTGTTGAAGTGCATCGAGATCACATTATTGTTCATGCTCCGGATAAGTCTACTCATGATGCACGATTGCTTGAAATCTTTTGAAGAATTTCTTATGAAAAGGTTGCCGTTAATCCTAAGAAGTGTTTATTTTCTGTTTCTCAGTTTGAATGTCTTAAATATCTAGTTGATGGCAGGGGCTACAAACCTGGTCCAAGCCGCCTTCTTCCTCTCATAAAAACCAAATCACGGTCTAACATACGCGAACTAAGATAATTGATTGCAGCCTTACAATACTGTTCTCGATTTATCCCCAATTTCAGCTAGAAAGCTTCGTCCCTATTTCTGCTCTCATCATTTGACAAACTTGTTTGGACAAACGCTCATAGACATTGCTGGCGTGAATTGTTGAGTTTTTTGCAGACCAATGCCTTACTTCACCCATGCAATCCCTAAATTTATTCCATCGTTATTAGAGATGCTACCCACTTGTGACTCAAAGGACATTTCTGATTCACTACTCGTAGAACCTCTCCCTGTGAGCCGTCAAAAACTTATTCGTAACACACTTTGTTATTTCTCTGCTGTAATGACTGCTTTGCGCAAGGTTGGAACGCCCAGACCACGAAGCGATATCCATATCACTATGCTAGACATGATGAGCTTTCAATCACATCTCATGGATTACTGTGTTTGAGTGACAGAGTTGTTATTTAAACAGCGTTGTGTAAAGCCATACTTGACGACCTACATTCCGGACATCTACGGGTGGCCAAGATTAAGTCATTGGTTAGGTTAACTTGTTGATGGCCAAACATGCATGCAAAAATATGCTCCACTGATGAAAGCGCAAAACCGATGAAGTGCAATAGAGTAAAACAGTGGTCTACTCTACTTTGTGTTACGATGTGCTATGAGTAATTTATGCTGTTCAATTTTTTGATGTCAATCCTAACAGGGAAAACGGAAGCATGTGAGCGATACTACTTATTACGAAAAAAGAGAAAAATACCCATTTCGAGATATTGATGAGAGATATAGTTAAACCCGGCAACATTGCAGGATGCATATAGTGCGA